TCTGGAGCTCCGCGCCGCCGAAGCCGCGCAGTTTGCACTTCAGGAGGTCGAGGCCGCCGCCCGTGCTCCTCCGCGTCACCTTCAGGAACGAGGCCCACGAATTGGCGTTCACTCCGGAGCAGCACGCCTTGCCCACCAACGCCGCACTCTCCTCGAGCTTCATGGTGCCATGGCCTGCCCCATGGCCTGCCCGACGTCGCCGGACCGGTCGCTACTCCGAAGATCAGTCGCGCTACCAGCTGGCTGCGACCCTGATCTCGCAAGTTCCCCCACCCCTGCAGGCCCCGCGCGGGGGCGAGGCAGGGCCTGCTCAGCCCCTGTCGCTGTGGCCGCTGGGCCCCGCCCCACGTCTGGATGCCGAACAAGGCCGTCGCGCGGCGCGCTGTGCCCGCTCTCCAGCGATTCGACTGGCCTGGGTGCCGCGCCTGAGGCCTCGCCCCAGCTGGGCCGAAGTGGCTCGCTGGCGGGGCGCGCGGGGCCAGCCGCCCCCGCATTCTCGGGGCAGGAGGGCGCGGCGCCTGTCGACGCGGAAGCCGCGCCCGCAGATCGCCCCCTCGATGTTCTGGTTGAACCGCTCCGTCCGCTGCCGTTCCACCTGGGGTCGAGCCGCGCGTCGCTGGGGCCGCGCGACGGCTGCGCTCTAGGCGCAGCGAAGCCCCAGTTCGGCCACTCGTCATCCACATTATGGCTGCGTCAGAAAGCTTCGAGCCTGGACGCGCCGTCGCCCCTCGCCCGATTGGCCAATTGCCGCGACGCCGCGCCGTGCCCGCCGCGACCGCTCGACTCCCAGGGCGCGAAGCGCCCCGCCCAACCTTTGCTTGGCAACCTCCTTCTCCCCCGGGGGGGGGGGGGGCTCGGAAAACCGCGGCAGCCGCGGCCAACTCGGCCCGCTTCTCCTCGCAATCCTCGCTGCCCACGCGGCCGAGGGGGCCTGCGTCGACGATCGCCATCTCCTCGCCCGCCGGGGCATCTTCAGCTCGCTGCCCTGCGCCGCCAGCGGGAGGAGGCGCAGCGCCATCGGCAGCAGGCGTAGCAGCCGCGGCCCCCCTGCGGCGGTGCTCCTTGGCCTGAGCCTGCAAGCGCTCGAGGGTGGCGAGAGCCTCGTGCGCCTCCTAGCTGTCTCGCACCGCGTCGCCCAGCCTCGCGCTGACCGCCTGGGCGGGGCACTCGAACTCGATGGCCTGGAGCTTGACGAGCTGGCGTGGAGGGCCGCGTTGAGCTCACTGTGCTTCGCCTCCAGCGCCCGCCGCTGCTCCTTGGCGCTCTCAGCCTCGGCCTCGCGCTTGGAGATATTCCTGCGCAGCCCTTCCGCGCGCCGGCGCTGGCCCTGGGCGATTGGTTGCTTGACCTCGCTGCCCTTGGCCTACTTGGCGGCCTCCGCTTGCTCCGCGCTCGAGGCGCCCAGCCCCTGTTGCTGCATGAAGGCCACCGCGCCCTTGAATGTTGATCCACCTTGATCTGGCCCCGCAGCCTTGCCTGCAGTGCCCTTCGGCCCGCCGCTGCAGCCTGCTGCCTGCTGACTGGGCGCGGGCGGCTTGGCAGATGGCGGCGTCGCAGGCGCTGGTTCACCTTTGAGCTCTGCCAGCTGGGCGCGCATCTCGCGCAGCAGGCGCGCGTGCTCGGAGCGCGTCGGCGGCCCATCGGCCCATGCCCCTCGCGGCCCACGCACGCTGCGCGAACGAGCCGAGGTCGAGGGCGCCTGCTGCTGCTGCTGCTGCAACTTGGCTGCAGCCTGCTTGGTTGCGTTGGCCACTTTCTGAGGGGCAGGCTTGGAGCAGTGCCCGAACCAGATGCGCGACGCAAACTTGTTCCCACAGCCACATCCGCGCCCCCAATCAGGGGCCCGCCCCCCCGTCAAGACATCGGGCGATGACGCAATCGGCCGCCTCGCGGGGCGGGGGAAGGCGCGAGCGCGAAAGAAACAACTCCTGAGGTTGGCCCGCAAGCACGCGCCGCTCTGAAGCACGCGCTCGCAAGTACAGGCCGCAAACCAGTGCCAGAAAGGCTGGGAGGAGGAGGAGGAGGAGGAGGAGGAGGAGGAGGAGGAGGAGGAGGAGGGCGAGGACGAGGACGAGGACGAGGGGGCGGGAGAGGGCGGGGTCAAACCGGGGGGGGCAGGAGGGCGGGGGAGAGGCGAGGAGGGAGGAAGGAGAGAGGAGGAATCACGATGTCGACAACAAATATTCAGGCACGCAGGGCATGCCATCCCCAGCGCGCCCAGATGGCAGCGAGGCCATGCACGAATGGGAAAACTCGGGAGAGGGGGGCCTCGCCCCGAAGGAGAGCACGGGCGCGCGGCGTGTCCCGTCAGAGATGGTCGGCCAGCGGGGTGCTTGGCAGTGCGATGGCGCGCGTTGGAGGTTTCTATAACAAAAGATCTATACTCGAATCCACGAGTGACCCGTAGTTGCACGGCTTTACGGGGCTGCTGGGGACGTCGAGTCCAGGCGCGCAGGTCGGAGACGGGGCCCCTCAGTGGACCAGAGGTCATTCCAGCGAG